GGGGAAATTTCCTTCGGATTGCGACCAATTCGGGTTGCGACCAGAGTCATGGAACGAATTAAGTTCGTAAATCGAGGTTCCACTGTATACTGTACTGCAGTGTTGCTCAACGTCAGTTACTTTAAGATGTGTGGACTCCAACTCCCAGAATTCCCCAGCCGGTGCATGCTGGCTGGGAAATTCTGGGAATTGAAGTCCGCACATTGTAAAGTTGCTGAGGTTGAGAAATACTGCTATACTGTGTTCCAGTACAATTGTTTAACTTTTCCAAATTCTTGAAAGTAGCTGAGACTTCTAGCTCAGCTAGAAGTTTGAAATGTGGAATTGCGTTTTGAATCTTCATCCCAAACTCTGGTATTGTCAAGAAAAGTTCTTATTGCAAAAGAGGCCTTTTTCCTGAGCACCGCTGTATTTCAGATAAGATGCAAGGGTTAGGGTTAGGGTTAGATAAGATGCAAGAGTCAGATGGTTTTCAGAGGCCAATATAGAGAATATAGGTAGCTTGGGGCTGAACTGTTGGGATCTTGGTGTTTACTGAGCTTGGTTGTTTTCCTCTAGACGTCTCATTACCAAGCTAGGTAACATCATCAGTGCAGGGGAGAGTGGAATTTGCAGACCTAGCTTGGTAATGAAACATCTGGAGGCAAACAAGCTCAGAGAACACCAAGAACCCAACAGTTCTCAAACTGGAATCATCCAGATGTAGGTACAGGTAGTCCTTGCTTCATTACCACAACAGGGACTGGAAAACTGGTTGTTAAGTGGATGATCACATGATTTTACTACCTTTTTTGTAGCAGTCTTTAAGTGAATCATGTGGTCATTAAGTGAATCATGTGGTTCCCCATTGATTTTGCTTGCTGGAAGCCCGCTGGGAAGGTCACAAATGGCAATCACGTGACCTTGGGGTGCTGCAGCTGTCGTAAGTGCGAGCTGGTTGCCAAGCGCCCAGATTGCAATTGCATGACTGTGGGGTGCTGCAACAGTCATAAGTCACTTTTTTAGCACCGTCGTAACTTCAGACAGTCGCTAAATGAACAGTCATTAAATGAGGACTACCTGTATACCAGATTCTCTCCTTCATATTGTCACAACTGAGATCATGTTGTAAAGAAGAGCATGCCGCAACAAAAACAGAGATCTCACTTTCCCAATAAATTCCACACTCCTGTGGTAGCAAATTGCCTTGCAGCTCAATCATCCTGGCAATTAACACTATTCATTATAATGTTGTGAGTTATTTTAAACCAATATCCTGCCATTCCCTGGCTGGCATTCTTGGAGCAGCTTCTGAAGGGACGAATAAGCTCGGACTACATATCATAAATCAGGATATTTTAAACCCCTCTGATCGATATGAGCTCTCAAAAGTTACAAGGTATTTAAATCATTAACTTTTAGGAGTAATGAAGAGTTTCTGAAATGCTTTCAAAATATCTGCAGAGTGCATATCTTTAGATAGAAGGGCATTCTCTGGGTGCTAAGATGCCTCGCTTCTGATGGTTGCTTCTTTGTCTGAAGCAAGGGCTTCATTGCATGGAGATTTTTTAAAGCGATTCTTTGGATTTATAACTTCTTCCTTACTAAAGAGATACTTCAGAGTATATACAAACCCCTAAAGCTGAAGTGAATTTTTCAGGTACTCCTTGACTTAATGGCCACAATTCGGACTGGAACTTCTGTCACTAAGCGATGCGGTCGTTAAGTGAGTCACACCCAATTTTGCAACCTTTATTGCCGCAGTCATTAAGCAAATCACTATGGTTGTTAAGTTAATCCGGCTTCCCCCATTGCCTTTGCTTGTCAGAAGCCCCCTGGGAAGGTCACAAATGGTGATCATGTGACTCTGGGATGCTGCAACCACCATAAATACAAGCTGGTTGCCAAGCACCCAAATTTTGATCACGTGACAGTGGGAACGCTGCGACAGTTATAAGTGTGAGGACTGTTCATAAGTCACTTTTTCAGTGCCATCGTAACTTCAAATGGTCGTTAAACAAATGGTCGTAAATCAAGGGCTACCTATATTTGCATCCCTGACAGAACGTTTCTGTTAAAGGCATGTAATGCATTTGACAATCAAAACTGTTTTTTCTCTCTCTTTTTAAATGTTACACTTTGCTTTTCTTGGCCCTGGAGGGCTCAGGCATTGCGTAGCTCCCTAAAGTTTTAAATAAATAGCTCCTTTGGGATTTCTCGTTCAGCCTCCTGGAGCTATGCTTTGCAACTCTGACTTGAATGGAAAAATTGCAAAAACATCAAGGGGAAACAGAATGCCATTTTGTGTTTCTATATCCTGTGAACTGGGATTACCAACCTTGGATGTTGACTTCCAGCCCAGTTATCTCTTGGCAGCAAAACAACAGGGTGGTGTGGAGTGGAATCAGACAGTGATGAAATGCAAAAAGTATAGAAGGAGATCATGCTGTGCAAAGTGAAGATAGTGTGGCAGCAATGCTTCATCACGGGGTTTATCATAAAGGTTTGCACAAACCAGTCACGCAACAGGATTTTTATTTTATTGGAGAGGTGGGCAGCCGCATGGCCCTCCAGCATATCTCGGGGTCCCTAGCACCCTCTGAATGAGAGCTGGATGGGTGTAGTAGTTGGGTTAGAAACCAGGAGACTCTGAGTTCTAGTCCTCGCTTGGGCATGTAACCCAGCTGGGTGACTTTGTGCCAGTCACACACACACAGTCCAACCCACCTAACAGTGTGGTGGTTGAGAAAATAGGAGGTGGGGGCATTATGTGTACTGCCTTGAGTTGTACAGAATAAAGGTGGGATAGAAATCTTCATAATAGTGTAAACCACCTAGTGTAAACCACTGGGGCAGGGGATGTAGAAATGCGTGAAAATACAGACTGAAAAGTGCCATTTTTGGCCACGCTGAGACAGGAGAGGTATGCCTTTCCAATGAACGCAGGTTCGCAAAACTCCTTTCCCCACCCCAGCAAAACAAACATTCATTCCACACCCATTGCAGCCATCTGCCTGTCCGTTTGCTAAAGCAGAAGGGCTACTTGCTCCCAGCTTACTCCAACAATGGGGACTTCTTTGGGGGGTTTTCCCCCCAGCTGCAGGGATGCATTTCAGGGGTGATCAGAGTCAGACCCTCGCCTTCCCCAGTCCACAAATGCGTGTGGACGCGGTACGGCCATTGCTCTTGAAATGTTCCCGGGGAGTCTATTCCAGGGAACGAGAGATGCTTTTCAGCTGCCAATTCTGGCCTCTCCCCAATATCCCTGTGTTGTATTGGGGTCAGTAGAAAGGCTGCCTGTTCTTCCCATTAGGAGAGTCTCCCCCCACCCCCAATTATTAATTGCTACAGGATCATGAAGAGGAGGGCTTCATGTTGGTCCAGGAAACCTTCACAGGCCACCATCTAGCCTACTTTGTTCTTCTCCTCTCCTTCATATTGGGCCTTTCTCCCAGCTGAGAATTAAGTTCTTATGTATCTGATAAGGTGGATTCTGATCCTCCAAAGCAGTGTTTCTCAACCTGGGCGACTTGAAGACGTGTGGACTTCAACTCCCAGAATTCTCAGCAACAGTGCCCAAGCCCAGGGAACGTTGGAC